TAATGAGCATGCAGCTGGATTGCAAATGGCTGGATTTATAGTGTTGGTATAAAAATAAAACTGGCTGTAGTTTAGAGCTGTCACAGGCATGGAGACAGAAATTGGAGCATATTTGACATCTCCCTTCTACAAATAGAAAAGGCAGAGCCGAGGTACTTGGGTAATACCTCTTATTGGACTAACTGCATATCATTGACAAACCAGTTTATGGGATAAAAATGGTTTGGGGTTAGAGGTTTGGGGACATGGTGAAAGAGCAAAACAAATGTTTATTTTGGTACTTCCATCCATTACTCTGGCAAGGTTTTATATTTTTGTACAAATAAACGTTGAACACAGCAAATTAGTATGGAAAAATTCTTGGCTGACACAGTGACTGTGACACACAACGTAAAAATCTCCACCAAGAATTCAAGAAATGTACACACATGGTGTCAGGCTTCTGTGAAATATTTCAAGTTAAAAAGCTAATGGTAACCTTGTTTTCAACTACATGAAGCCTTATTTCAGTTTTCATCTGTACAAAATACATCTCAATATCCAGCTCTATCCAAGTGATACATTGTAAAGAATGAATGTCATCTCCTACCTTTTTGAGTTTGAGGGGAGAGAACAGGGAATTTTTTGAAGTGTTGAACCAAAGCTGTAGTTGTTTTCGAGGTCAGTTCAGTGCTGATCAGTGTGGTACCTTTGCACTGTAATATGCTCTACGGAGTTTTGTAGAGACTTTTATGAACGAAATTTTCACCCTGAACTTGGCGTATACCAAAATTAATGCATTTATTCTGATAATACAGAATATCCAGTCATCTTACTACAGGTGTGCTATTAGTTCTTAATTGTAACTGGCCTTCATGTTTCATTCCTGTATTACATTTTAAATCACTCTTGTTTCCACTAAAGTTCTGTCTTATACTGAAGGCGATATATCTGGTGACTTCATTTCCGCTTAATTGTCCTATGTCATAGCTGCATCTCAGAAGAATTTGAAAAATGCAGTAGCATTTTAAGGTAGCTCAGAGGATACCTGTTGTCATGTATGCCTCTTTTTTTTCTTTTTTTTTTTTTTTTTAACTTTGAGTGCACAAAGGACTAGAATTTCTATTTTGTGACTGAAGTTAATTTTTTTTCTTAAAAGATAAGGATAAATACCCTTCTCTGCTATTGATGTCCATCCAAGTTCTTTTTATAGAAGACTACTAAAGCCAGGATCGTTTTTACCAAAGAGAAGAAAAAGAACAACTCCTAAAATGGAGATTTAGATACCTAACTTTGAGAGAATGATCACAGAGCTGACAACGCTTCTTAACGCAAATTGCCTTACGATGCATAGAACTTTTTGGTGATAAATGTTTGGTTTATTTGCAGAGCTATTACAATGTGCAGGCTATTGTGCAGCTGAAATAAGGCTAAGCATAGGGTATCAGATGGGTACCAGGTGACAGATTGTTTAAAAACAAGAGAATATTTTAAGAAACTGTCTATTGCAGAATAAAGGCGTATACAAGTATATATGTGTAATATAGAATTTATGTGTATGTATGTGCAGCATGCAAGCATAACTATGATAAGAAGTAATCTACATTGGTTCCTACTTTTTTTTTTTTCATTATGGATTCTTCCAATTAAAAGTTAAAGTTACTGTAGCTTATATTTCTTACAACAAGGCAGAATGTCTGCTAAAGTTATGCCTGTAGTGATTTTTATGGTTGCAGGTTTTTTTGTCTATAAATGACCAGTGTACTTGAAATGCAACAAATTATGGTCTGGCTTTTTCTGATATGTACCGAGCTATTCGCTCTGTTCACTGCGTACGATCACACCATGTATAAGGATTCTGGTTTAGTACAGTTTGTAATCTTTGGGGGAAGAAGAAGAAGGGGGGAAAAAAAAAAACCAACCCCAAAACCCCACCAAAACAAGCAAACAAACCCAACCCAGGATCTTGTTTCTAGACAGACCAGGGTAAAGGAAGAAGAGAGGAACAACGTATCACATGGGTATTTTTGTGTACACTTCTGCTGAAATTTTCAAGAGGTGATTAAGAGGTAGTATTGCTCCATTATCAAATTTCACTTTCCTTTTGAGAGCAAGCTATTGATTTAATTTAGCATCTCCCCAAGCTACATATTCAGTAGAAATGGCTTCATGACATCTAGAGGAAGGACCTAGTACAGGAAATGTTTTCAAATCAAAACTTCTTAATAGCATTAAACATCAGCATCCCAATCTTATGAATAATAAATTGAATGTTGAATTGGACAATTCCAATTACTGAACAAAGTGCAATGGAAAATTTGTCACAGAAAACAGTCTTATATTTCAGGTTTCATGTGTTTCCTTTTTGTGAAAGCAGAATATTTCAAGTTCTGCTTCTGAAATGTACAATTAGTACAGAAATAGAAATAGGTAGGTAAGTATGGGCACAATTCTTAAGTATCTAGATATGAGAAAGGTGGGCAAAAAATCATGTTAAATTTAATTCTAAACTAAGGCAGAACATGCAGTCCTTTCCTGTTTGATAAAAGTAAGCAAACTTGAATAGCAGTCAGTTTGAAAAGTTAGTATGCATAGAGGGAGATGTGAATGTGAAAATGTAGCATGGACACATAATTAATGGCAAACATTGTGCCTTTTGTATTAGCCAAAAATTAAAATAATTAAAAATGCTGGGTTTAGCAATGCAGCTTGCCTTTAGTTTCAACAGCGCACACACTTGAATCAGCATAAAACTGCTTTTAATTGTATCTCGTTCCCCCTGTTCTTCAAGGGAATTTGCTGTTCTCATTCAAAAAAAAAATCATCTGTCTTACAGGTTGATTAAAATTAACTTTTTTGGAACCTAAAAATAGCAAAGCAAATAATACTGTCTGGAATTAAATCAAGCAACCTTGATCAAACAATTAACTCGTCCTCTATTAAATCAATATTTGCTGATGCTAATACTGGAGCTAGTTCCAGTAGCTGGAATTACAGCCACTGATTTAGTGTCTTTATTATTAGTAATTAGGCTGCTGTCTTTCCCCAGTACTGCTTCTGAAAGCTAGTGCTTGGCTGACTTGTAGAAACTGGCCTAGATGATACCTAAACTACAGTCTTCATAAGGCTGAAGGCCCCCTCTGATGGTGTGACTCCACAGAGGTTGAAACAAATTCAGGTGCATGTTGCCACAGCCCAGCTTAGACCAACTGTTGTGGAGCCACAGCTTAAGGCTATTTTTTGATGATGTTATGTCTAACAAAAGCAGGGAGAGTTCCTGCTATTGTAATACCGGTACATTCTCCGTCTAATTTTTCTCAGGATATTACTGCAGTGGTGCTTTTGTGGCAGCTTCAGTTCACAAAAGATTCTTGTCACCCCAGTACCATTCTGTCCCTCCTCAGCAGCCCTTCTAATAGGGCACTTAACTGTGACAAATTAGGAATTAATTTGCTCTGATGCGCTAACGTGACCATGAAGCTCTCTACTAGACCTTTATTTATTCTCTTTTCATTTGTATAATATATTCTTTACTTCTTGGATCTGATTATGTTATTTTGGCTGTTAAGTTCTCCTTAAACAATCTTATATAGGCTGATGTGATGTTTATTCTTGTTTGGGGAAGGATTTTCTTTGGCACGTTCTCAGGTTTGCAGTAGCATCTTTATGTTTGTTTTGGTCCTGAATTAGCTTATCAGAAATTACTTCATCATTCTCCAGATCCTGAAGGATGTTTTGGTTCAGATCTAGTATTGTGTAATCCAACATGTACCTAATGAACATATGTAACAAATCGGGAGATGCAACAGCAAAACTGCAGTAACAACAATAGAAGTTTGATAATGGACTTGCAATGTAAAAATTACTGTAGGACATCAGACTAGACTACCTTAATATTCCTTTCTGAACTTCAAAATTTTTTACATTATTCTTGACTCTACGCTTGTTATCAAAAAGCATCCTCTCTCAAGTATGAGTCCATTATTAGGGTTAAAAGACGGAGTCTTCCCTTTGAAAGATAGGCCATAAAGAAAATTGCTGTAACGTAAATTATGGAACTCTTACTTTTGTCTGTAACCCCCAAACCAGCATGAAAGTAAACAGAGAAAATACTCTTAAGGAACACAAAACTATGAGACTACTGTGTAATTTGGGAATTTTACTTTTCATTATTTTGTATGAAAGCTAGTATGGGAAATAATGCATTTAATAATGGCATGAAATGTAGCAATTGGGGGAAAAAATGTTCTGGGATCACAGTTTGTGAATGTGAAAGTGCTGTTTCTTTTCATTTACATACGACAACTCTTTTCAGAGTTACGACTAAAGAGGATGCCTGTCATTATTCATTTAATAATGCAGGTGCAATATTGGCATTTAGTGGTGAGTAGGAAAGAGGGAAGGCCACATGACTATAACAGCCAACATGGGTCACTTGCAAAACAGTCAGAGCCTGGATGATGTTGAGAGTCTAGCAAAAGTCTAGCAAATGCTGATCTGAAAGCTGATGATAACAATATCTTCACAGACATCTTAGTATTGTTTGGTTTGGATATCTATGACGTGAGGACTTCTATGAGATAGGTAGCTTTCTTCTTTGTACCATGTCTTTATTAGCAGTTACCCAGATCTACAAGGCAGCTTATCTGTGTCTATTATGTATTTGAAATGAAGTACCGATATATAGGGGTTTTAGGATATTCTATATGGATAAGCCCACACAGAATCTTTAAAGTATTTTTGGTTTAAATTATTTTTATGAGAATCATTATGCCTTATAGCTAAATTCAGCATTTCCTAGATGCAGGGTTTTTTCAGTGGTTAAGACTTTTTTTTTTATATATATATAAAACTATGTGTTATCTTCTAGAGCTGCAGCTTTTGGGGTGTTTTTATTATCAATGGTGTAACTTCTTACTGTAATAGAACAAGATTAACACAGTCACTTGGTTTAATTGCAGATTGGCAAAAGAAAAAGTTATGTATGAAAAAGAAGCAAAACAGCAAGAAGAAAAGATTGAAAAAATGAAGGCTGAAGCATGTGATGATTATGGAATTAAGAAGCAGGTAAACTATCCTGAAACTTGTTTTATAAAATCCTTCTTTGCTTTCATTTAGTCACAGTCATTCTTAAAGAAAATAATCTCCTGTACCTTTTTCCAGATTCCTGTTATAATTACTAGACTAAAATCCTCTCCATTATAAAAGTAATAGTAAGCATTTGTAGAAACTTCCTTCATTCCAGAACTGTTAAATTAAAAGGAAACTGTGTCTGTATTATGTAGCACTTGGTGTCAGGATGGCTATCACAGTGCGTATGGTCTGGATGCATTTAGGTAAATTAAGTGCTCGCTGGTAAGTGCAAATGTTACAGTGAAGTGAAAACACTTGATAGTTACTATGAAGGTGAAGCATTTCAATTCTTGAGTATACTGGTATCCCTCTGGTAAAATCACAGACCTGAAAAAGAGCAAGCAATGGCTACACAGCTGCTCCTAGCAGCTGGTGGAGTTTGTAGTGAAGTCACTGACTAGCAAGGTGCGTGCTGTAGTTTCATCTGCTCAAGAGTATGGTTTAGTGTCACTATTACAATATGATTAAATTTTTCTTGGAAGGTTCCCCCGAAAGGACAGTGGTTGCAGACAGTTGGTACCTGCCCTTTTGGAGGGAGAGGGAGTGTCAAGTTTACTTCTCGCTGAGAGAAGGCTTGGGTTTGGGAGATTTGTGTTTCTTTTTTACAGAAGTGTGGCATGTGTTTAACTGTGGCCTTTATATTCTTTCAATTAAATATGTTATTTTTTAACTATGTTTTTCTTCCCAAGCATTTCCCAGATGTTTTCTCTTGAATCTTCAGAGAAACTGAAACTGTAAATTAAAATTATTTTCATTTGTTTCAATAGCCTGGTGGCCTTGTGTTATAAAACTTAACCAACTGTTCTCCCATCTTCATTTTGAAACAATGGAAGATTAAGTTAAATAAACCTCAATTATAAAAATTGAAGCAAGATAGGAGAAAGCCCTTTTAGAACAAGCTAAACCAACTTGTTAATATAAATTCAGATTTCAGTTCATATGTCCTGCCTTGCTTTCATTATGCCATGGGAAATAAATGCAAATAAAGAATTTGTATACAAATAAAGGATTGTATTTATAGAGGTGAGCTGTCTTCTGCCTCACCACAGACTGCAGCTCCAAGATCCTACAAAATAGTAGTCTTTCTGAAGGTCTGCTGGTGCTAACAAGAACTAATGAATGCAATTCCCATTTTTAGTGTCCCCCATTCATCAGGTTATTTGACTGCACTGTGGTATTTCCGCAGTGACCTGCAAGATATCATCAAAGTCAAAACCAGCGGAGACTGTGAACTTCTGCTGTGAAATGAAATGTTACACACTACTTGAAGGTATTCTCAGAGACCAATGACAAAACCTTCCACAGAGAGTCTTGATTCCTTCAGAAATTGCCTGATCTGCTTTGAAAGCAATCAGTTCTGCAGTGGCATCTTCACTTCTTGTTCCTTTAGTGCACTTTGCATTCTGGAAGTTGTTAATATTTTAGGTTATGAAGAATTTGAAGGCTTGGAAAGAATGTGCATATTTTTCATAGGATCAAATCTGTTACTCTAAAGAAAATTATATAATACCAGGAGAGTTTACTCAGAACTGTATTTTGGATAGAATTAATACTTTGAGGCGTTCTTCAGGAAAACTACCTGTAGTTACACATTTCAAGAATTGCTTTTAGCTAATAATTCCTAATCTGAATGATTGTATTTATTGAAAAATATGGTTCTAGCCTTTATTTCAGTAATGAAAAGTAACATTTGTGGGATGGAAACTAATTCAATCATTTGAGACTAGGAGAATAATTTTAACTATTATTTTATCAGCTAAATGAGATATGTAAATACAAATCAATCCAGAGTGGAGGGAGGGATGCTTAAAAGCATTACTTACCCCTTAATGTACTACTGTTCTCATTTAGCTTTCTAGTTACAACTCTGCAATAGAACATACGGTTTAACAGTACAGAAGTGACTACAGAAAATTTTACTTTAAAATGAATAATGCCATTCCTACAGCATCTGTAGACTTCAGGGTATGTCTGGTCTGTGAGGAGGGATCAGTCCCTTTGCAGAACAAGAGTTAGGGTTTGACTCCGTATTTTTATCGTAATTCCTTATACAGTGGGGCAGCTTGTGGTTCTTGTGAATTCAAGTCATCTCTGGCTGAGCCGGTGACCAAGTAGGGTAGTTGGCAGATGATACCAGCATTAACCTGCACTGTCTAGAAAGACTTACTTCATGAGGAGCAGATTCAGTATCAGAGAAACAAAAAGGACAGTTTTCTCACACTGCTGGTATATGCTGACCAAGATTATAACTTGTAGACCCCTGTTGTTGGATGTGAAAAGACTTTGTCACAGTAACCCAGGGTAGTCCACTTCTCCCCGCATCTGCCCCCAACTTCACACCAGTGTGATGGTGGATCTCGGAGTTCAGACAGCAGCACCTGCAGTTCACTAATGAGCAAAACAGGCCACTGCATATGTATAGTATGTTAATCAGCAGAAATTCTATTACCTGCCCCTGCAATGCTGTCCTTTGAGCTTCATCCCAAGCAGGGCTCTGTTGTGTCAGGTTCCTGTTTTGCTTAGCATCAGTGTCCCGGAGCCCCCACTGTGATCACGCTATGCTTTCAGTAAAGCCAGAGCTTTCACTCACTGAGTATTATGCCTCATCCCTGGGGGATCCCGACCTGCTTTCTACCCATATTTCCACGCTGCTTTCCGCCCATGTATCACTGTTGTCCCGGGTGCACACTGGGTTTGCGCTACTTGCTGTGTCTCAGCTCATATACTTCAGCTGAATCCGGGCTGGGTGAAGACTACTTGTGGTAGGCTGTGTATCACAGGGAAGGAATCTCGAGGGGGAAGAAGTCCTTCCTTTTCCATCATTTACATCTTATTCAAACAAACAAACAAACCCACCACTCTGCTATCATCTGGTTTTTGTCTTCAAAAGGTAGATGAGAAGTTTAGAATTTAGGGGAAAGTTGTAACAATTCATTTGAGCCAAATTGGCAGAAAAAAACATAATAAATGAAGAGCAGTATTTGGAAAAAGAAAAAGATTCTGAGAGAAAAATTTTCATATGTTTTTACATCTGAAAATCATACTATCTTCCACCATGAGACTTGTAGGAAAAAGGGTTATTAAGTACTTCAATAAAATACTAGATTGAAAACAATAGTGTTAAAACCAAAACTATTGTATATAAAATTTACCGAGTTTGTAGAAGTTAGGAAAAAATATTAAAAGGCTTTTAATGTATTCCACCAGGTGTAAATTCTGCATATTGATTCTGTAGAGGGTCACGGAGAGCCCTGACCGATAAGCAGCAAGCAGTACAATTGTACCTCCATGTGGATTTTTTTGCAATGAAGCCTTGGTTTCTGCACAGTTGTAATGGTTCTTAATATATGAAGACTTTACACGGAGCTTCATAATAGTTTTATCTGTTAAGGAAACTTTTCACACTGTAATCACTCGTAAGTGCAGACTGATGATAGGAACCAGTAATTTCCTGTATTTCTGTGGTTGGTGGTGTGTCTTGTACGTCAATAAGCCTCCTTTCCCATCCTTTTATCTTGAGGCTTGTGAGTGTGGGAAAAGCCTGAGGTTATCTTCTGTGTTTCCTCTCAGTGGGATTGTAGATATACTCTGGAGTTTTTGTTAACAGTCATCATTTTTACTGATAAATGATATATCTTCATTTTTTAATGATACATTTTCATTTTTTAAAGAATAGCTGTCCTACAGTTCCAAATTACTTCTTGTGCAATGTCATTTCCAGATGAATTAAAAATCCAGTGGACTTAACATAGAATTTAGTACCTGCATGCCAAGGAGTACATAAGAGTGCATAAAGTACATCTTGCTAATACACAGGTTTTTAGAAATATTGGTGAAAACAGCAGTATTTCTCTTGCTTTGTTGAGTGAAAGGTAGAGTATCTCTTGAAACAACTCAAAAGAAATGCATTTGGAAACAATGTATATTGTTTTGTAAAATTATTGTGGAAGATGAGAATTTGCTGCTAGTCTTGTTACTGGAGGAGTTCTTGCTGAAAGGAACATTGTAATGTTCTGTAATGTTTTAATTTTTACATGTCTATTTAGCCTCAAAGAGATAATCTGGTTAGCTCAGTTGGCTTTTTACATTTTTAGCTTTTTCTACCCCCTACCCAATTGGTTCAAACAAAGTTTCATTCTTCTCACCAATCTAGTACAGTAAGATTAGATAAAACATACAGTTTCACTTCAGTCTGATTATTTTCATAAGGTTTTTTGGGGGGTTGTTTTCTTTTTTCCTAAGAATAGATGATCTTTGCTTAAAAATCTGAACTCTAGCTCTAGCTGCTTAGGTAAGGAGGCAGTGGAAATGCTAGTGAAGAGTCCTAATGCTCCCCCTTATGTATTTCAACAGTATCCTTAATAAACACAGTTTGTTTACTTAAAAGCTAGCACCTTGGAATTCTCTGTACTAAGAACAGAGTAAAATTCCTAACATACAACTGGTATTAAAAATGCTTTCAAACTCTAGTTTTATTGCCTAATGTGCTTTTTGAAAGAGACTAAATAACAAAAAATCATTACTGTGATCTTCCTTTTTCCCTTCTGTTTCCCAAAGGCTGTTTTCCTTTTTATCTAGGCAGGTGTAAATACCTTTTGGATTCCAGACTTTATGCTGAAGATTAAAGGCACTCGTGCAGTATTTGGAATAAGTTAGTATGGCAACATTCTGATGGTAGGAGAGACCTGCCACCAAGATGGGATGTGATTTGTTTCTTCTTTGGTTGGGCTCACTTTTCCTGTGCTCTACAGGGAGGAAAAAAATCTGGACTTGACTTTTCTGCCTTCTCTCTATTTAGGGAACTTGCCATGTCTGTTCTGCTTCCAATTTTAGCACCAATATTTCCCCAGGTATTTCATCTCCACAAACCAGATGAGGGGCGACTCCAAAATCTTCAAGTTTATTCTAAAACCTCTCCTAAGCAGCTTGCTACCTTTTAGCAAAGCATGTATTACATTAAGCATGGATTCAGGATCCGTATCTTAACAACCAACCAAAAAAAAACCCAACAGAACCCCGCCCACCATCACCCTCTCAATCTCTCCCCCAGGTGTAACCTCCTTCACAAACAGTTGTGGGAGCAGAGAGAAAATTTGGCTATTTGTTCTAACAAGGTTGAGCCATTCTTGCTGGGAAGGCAAGTCTTTCTTTTGTCAGTGTTTTCTTTATGCCAGTCCCAAAGAAACCTCTTAATGCAGCTGTTTACCACCTCTCACCTGTTTTCAGGGTGAGGTTTATACTTGCATCAACATGGATCTGTTCAGGTAGAGTTTTGAGTTGCTGGAAGGAAATGTGCTGCTTGCTGATTAAATGACAACTTTCTGTAATGGGTAATTCGATTATCAATCTTCCAAGTTAATTTTAAAGGAGCAATATCTTGTAATTTATGATACAGCATATTTAATTAAAAACTTTTTAAGTGGAGGACATGGAGCTTTGCTTCTGTCCTCTGAAAAGTTCTCAATTTTTTAACTTCAAGTCATGTGGCGTTCTTCTTCCACCCCCCACTGCTGACAGTTGTACATTAGTGGAAGACAGACAGTGACTGTTTTCCAAAAAGACCAAAGGAATCTTTCTGCCTTTCATGTCCTAAAGTGAGCTGCTTCAGAAGAAACAGGATTGGCCCTCACCGGAGAGGGGCTGCAGAGAGAGCTAGTTTGAAATACTGAGGCATTAGACGTAGAGGGTTTTCTCCTCCTCCAGCTTTCTTGCTACAAATTGGTAGGTGGTTTGTGGCTGATACATGGCCATTTCAGTTCTGAAATGCCCAAACACTATAGAAACAAAACAATGCTCTCTGGTTCTTTACTGCAAGCTTTTCTTCATGGTCCTTTGGAAGTGTTTTGATCAATGTGTTTGATAACGCGCCTACAACGGACTGCAGTGTGCGCTTTGTACCCTGTATTTGTGGATAGCTCAAGCTGCTTTTGGGCCTGCTATGTGAAAACAAAACAAGTTGCTTCAAAGGAAGCAGAACTAATAAAACTTGGTTTCCGACAGCTTTTGTGTGTGTTTGGGTTTCTTCCCCCTCTGTATTCACCTTAATGCTGTCTCTCCTCTGAGTTTCTGTCTTCCCTGTGCCCAGCTTTCTCCCACATCGCCTGTGCTGTCCCACTCCCTGCGTCCCGGCGCCACCATCCTGGCACAGCACATTATGCCTTCGTGCTCCCTGACTAGCAGAGAGGCGAGAAGTAGTACCGTGCTGTGGGTTTAAGTTACAAATATGCTGATTACCCAACCAGTAGCCTTAGCATGACTCTTTTAACTTTGTGCTACAGCCTTTTACTTCACAGGATTATTAATTTTGAAACCTTTGGTGTTCGTGATACTTCTTTTCTTTGTCCTTCCATCAGCTATGGCTGTAACCAGTTAATAGATTCCAAGTGTTTTACAAAGTTTCTGATGAAAAGTAGTTCAAAAAAGTAGCACTTTTCTTAGCAAACTGAATTATTTACATGTTTTTTCTTTTCTTCTGTACCATCTTTGAGTAGAGCCATGCTGTTACAATTATCTGTACAACAGTCAAAAGGCAAGTGATTATGAGGCAGTATTTAAAAGCTTGAATATATATTTATGTGTATATCATTCATACATGTATGACTCATTCACAATTCTTTGTTTTTTAGACTATCTTTTATGTTTAAAACACCACTCCTGTCATATAAAACAGTATTGTCGCTATACCCTGTGACCCAGTAGTTTATTAGGCTGTCCTTCTAAGATCAAGGAAAGACAGAGAGCACTATGGGGGTTTTCTAGTTGATCTCAAATTATTTGTGGATCTGTGTATCTCTAAATCTCTTGGTTAGACGTGGGTCAGCTGAAAAAAAACCCAGACAAACCCTGCTTCCATCTTTCTGAAGCTGATAAAACTGTTGTCCCATTATACATGCCAGGCTGAACAAAATTGCTTCCTGTTGCAGAATACCTGGTATTGACACTCATAAGCAGTAATACTTAATTGTATTCTTAAATTATAAAGAATTTGTTTCAGTGTAAGTGCTTGGGTGATCCAAAAAGCAGAGGATCTGTCTCATGAGCAGCTCTGATCTGCCTACAGTTGAAATAGCAGCTTTGAACTTTCATTAGGGGACCTGCTCAAAATCAAAGTTGCTTATGTTTAAAGCCTTGGGCATTACCTCCTCAGCTGTTTCTCATACAGTGTTTGGCCTTTGTGCTTATTCTGAGTGTGTAAAGTAATTGATTTTAGTTACGATGCCCTTCCACTTAAGCAACTGGTAGGTGGATCTGTGTTTTTGCATCTATTCTGTTTTATCTGTCACTGCAATCAAGAATTTATGGAAAACAGATTGAAGGCTATTGATAGTGCATTATGCACACCCGTTCTTTGACATCTGATCCAATTTACAAAAAATCTACATCGCATTTAGTAAATACGCTTTACACACCCCAACAGTTAGAGAGCTCCATGGCATCTGAGAAACCTGCTTTCTTTTGAAAGATGCCAGACCTCTACTCCCTTAGTAGAAATACCTTCAATCTTGAAAGACAACTGACTAGAAATGTGGCTGGTTGAAGAGATTTGTTTAACTAGCTTTTTCAGTACCCTTGAAGGAAAGGGGATGCCGTCCTCACTGTAGCCGCAACAGCTCTTTTGGTCCTGTGTGCACTTACTGATGACAAAGTAAATTTACTTCTCCCTGTACATGTTGTTGTGCTTTACTGCTTTTGTCTTAACACTGTATTTAGATGCACTTCAGTTATTCCAGCTTTTTAATACTTCTGTTTGGCAATGTAATTCACAGAAACCTTGCAGATATTTATGGTGCTTTGCAAAGTTAGATCAGTTGCATACAATAACTTCCTTTGTGACCTGCTTATAATTCAAACTCCTTAGAGTTCAGTCAGAAAATCTGATAGAATTTGGAGAGCAAACATGTTAAAAATTCCAGTCCTAAAGCTTATCTAATTATTTGAGCTTTTGTCTTTACTTTATGATACACACTTGTAATGGTAAATGGTCTGTCTGGGATTATCAGCATTACTTGAACAAAATGGGTTTTATCCAGAAGTTATCAAAATTGCATAGGTAGTTTGGTAATAAATTAACAATATTTGTTCCACAAAATTCCTGCTCCAATCTCCAACTGTTGCCACCTACTGAATATAGTTCCAGGATTCATCATGGTTTTTTTATTTATTATTGCATAACTGCCAGCAAATGTAAATAAAACTCAGGTACCCCTTTGGATGTCAGTCAGATTTTGTTTTGGAGAGTGATTGGGGTAGGTTTGTTCTTTTCTTACAGCAGCCAGGACTAGAGCTTACAGATTCCAGATTTACGTGTCTTCTCAGATCCCTTATTGAGCAGCACATGTCAACTAAGTTACTACTTTTCATATCATCTACCAGCTTTACCGTACAGAACTATTTAGTGATACTGGCCCAAGGAAGTCATTATTGGATATTCTCACTCCTGTACGTATTCTCTATAGAACAAATTTCTACTATGTGAAGCAGAAGGCATCATCTCATGCAGTTTATGGCACACCTCATTCTATGGAAGTTACAAACTTTTATTCATTCACTGCTGAAAGTGTAATAGGCAGAGTTCCTAGTCTTATTTTTAATACAGTCCGACACTGAATGCTTACAAGAAACGTGATAAACTTATTTTTTAAATACTTGTCACCCATCTTTGCTTCATTACAACAGGTTTTGCTCTAGATTCTCTGAAAGAAAATTAGAAACAATGTTTTAAAAACCTTTCCCTCAAAAATTACTTGACCTAAAGTTAAATATATGATACTTAAAAACATGGTGATAATGTCTTACTACATAAGGCCTTCCTGTATGCATAAATACATTCTTAGCCATAGTTTTATCTTCCCTTTTACAATGACCCTTCAGTACAGCAGCATTAATACTGAAAGGAGAATACAACACTGGAGTGACAGAACGAAGTAAGCCATTTAAAGGGAATGCCTTCTGTGGCAGGTTACCCTGAAAGCAGAAGAGGTTTCATATTTAAATACCTAACAGATTTTCATTTCTAAATAGATTTAACATTAGTGAACAACGCCACACACCTTTTCTTCTCAGTGGTTGGATTTCAGATCCAGAAATGTTCCATGAAATAAATGTTCCCTTGTTTAAATCTGAAGTTGTTTTCTGCAGGAGGAGGCAGGACGTTCAGATTCAGTGGGGTGCCAGTTTAGTAATTTTGTTCAAAGTGCATGGTGAGAATAATCTTTCTCCTAAAATGAAGCACAAGGATAAGTAATAACTTTTTATGCATGATAAGCATCAAAAATATGAGCCTGCTGGTCTTTGCTTTTCATTTTTCTTTACCTTTGTATTTCAGTCAGAGCCTCCTGCGGTGTGCACACAATGTGATCAATAACTCAATAACTTTTTTCATGCAGTAATTATCTCTATGTGGTATTATCTGAACACTGTTTTTCTTTATTACCCAAAAGATGCAGGAGATATTTATATAACCAGCTGATCCCATTTTGGATTGAAGCTGCTTCACAACAGCAGGAGAAAGTTTGTTTTAAATAGTCTTTTTAACAAACGTTGTATGGAAAGCTTACCAGGCAGTAATTTTTTCTAAGGGAAAAATTATTCTAAATACTCTTTTGCACTTGATACTTTATTTTTAATTAAGCACAAAGTAAATGGAAGTGTCCCACAAATTAACAGAGTTTTAAGCAATTATGCTAAGTAAGTGTCTCTTAATAACAAAGCCTACTAGAAAATAGGTACAAGTGTTCTGAAGTTCCTAGATCATGACTGGACTACTGATTTTTTAGAGTAAAGACTTATCTTAAACAATAATGTTCCTATCTGGAATACATTCTCATTTCATTGGCTTCTAATTTTCACAGATTGAGATCTTACAAGAGTCACGAATGATGATTCCAGACTGCCAGCGCAGATTAGAAGTCGCACATGCAGATCTTACTCAACTACTAGTAAGTATAACACCCTAGCCCACTGATAAGGAATGCTGGTGTTCCTTGATGAACTTGGATAAACGTGCTTGTCTGCAGTGCAGTTGCAGCATATTAGAATTGAAGAATTACTTTTTGTAAGGTCCCAAGACTAGCATCCTATAACATACCCATATTTCATTTTAGGTAACTGTCTGCAGACTGTCTTCAGCCTATGAAAGCTCTGTGCGTTAGAATATTAGAAGCTGTCTTTAAGGGAACAGTCACTCAATGTACACTTAAATACTGAAGTGGTGGAAAGGACTCTGAATTCCTGTGCTGGTTTACATGATCAGAAAAAATAGTTCACCGATTTAGGTAGTTTTCTAGATAGTGTAGATGTATAGAATATGCTTGTATTGAACTGAAATAGTCAGAATACTTTGCTTACTACTTTTACAATGCTACGGACAAGAAACAAGACAGCCAAGTCCTGGCCGAGTACTGTTTATATGATTTATTAGTGAGGTGAGCACTAGTGCCCCATTTTTAAGACGCAAATACCTGCAGGAATAAATAGTATCTTGTACAGATAGATTCAGTAAAACTATACTAAGCTTGGAGATCATCATGCTTATTTTAAAAGCTGCCTTCTTATCACAAATTCAGCTACACATTTAAATGCTACTGTGGGGCTAAAAATACAAACCCTAAATTAAGCCCCAGACACATTCGATAGCTAAAATGCAAATCCCTTCTCAAAGGAAAACTCAAGGTGTCTTACCCTTGGGTAGTATGCCTCTACTGTTTTCCAAAATAAATACTCAGTAGCTGGCAGGATTTAGGGTCCTTTTGTCATTCAACTAGTTACTTGACAGCTGATCTAGATCTCAGTGGCAGGGTGGAGTGGTGCTACTGATCCATACAGTGTGCTGTACAAACTTAAAACAAGGAATGGGGGGAGTTACTATTGTTGTTAAGAATTTGGAAATCTTTAAGAGTTGCTTTCTATGCTTAGCTCACTTTCAGTGCTTTTATTAAAATCAACTGTATATTAGTATGTTTTTTCAATTGTCAACCTGCTTAAGCTTTTCCCTAACAGTACTCTTGTTCTGAGGTCTGTTGTTATTGGTTCCAATTACATTGTCCTTGAGTTTAAATATTTAACAATATAATAAAGTAAAGGTATGTGTAGGTCAAACCCACTTACACATGACAGCCATTATCCTGGACCTTAAGTAGGACAAAATAAATTACCTGTGCTTTGGATCATGTAGAACTAGTGTTTTCAATAATGATATAGCCTTTGTTTCATAGAACCACAGAATGTTTTGCATTGCAAGGGACCTTTAGAGGTCATCTAGTCCAACCCCCCCTGCAGTGAGCAGGGCCATCTTCAACTCGATTGGGTTGCTCAGAGCCCCGTCCAACCTGGCCTTGAATGTTTCCAGGGATAGGGCATCTGCCACCACTCTGAGCAACCTGTTCCAGTGTTTCACCACCCTCATCGCAAAGAATTTCCTCCTTCTATCTAGTCTGAATCTACCCTCTTTTAGTTTAAAACCATTGCCCCTTGTCTTATCACTACAGGCCCTGCTAAAAAGCCTGTCCCCACCTTTTTTATAAGCCCCCTTCAAGTACTGAAAGGCCGAGATCAGGTCTCCCCAGGACCCTTCTCCAGGCTGAACAACCCTAACTCTCTCAGCCTGTCCTTGTAGGAGAGGTGTTCCATCCCTCGGATCATTTTTGTGGCCCTTCTCTGGACCCGTTCCATGTCCTTCTTGTGCTGAGGGCCCCCAAGCCGGATGCAGGGCTGCAGGTGGGGTGTCACTAGCGCAGAGCCGAGGGGCAGAATCCCCTCCCTCCGCCTGCTGGCCACACTGCTTTTGAGGCAGCCCAGGAGGCGGTTGGCTTTCTGGGCTGCGAGCGCACATTGCTGGGTCATGTCCAGCTTCTCATCCACCAGTACCCCCAAGTCCTTCTCTCTAGGGCTGCTCTCAATCCTTCCTTCTTCCCCCAGCCTGTATTGACACTGGGGGTTGCCCCAACCCAGGTGCAGGACCTTGCACTTGGCTTTGTTGAACCTCATGAGGTTCACACAGGCCCACTTCTCCAGGTCCCTCTGCATGACCTCCCATCCCACAGGTGTGTCAACTGCACCACTCAGCTTGGTGTCCTCTGCAAACTTGCTGAGGTCCCACTTGGTGACTTGGTCCCACTGTCTGTGTCATCGATGAAGACACCAAACAGTACTGGTCCCAGTACAGACCCTTGAGGGTCACCACCTGACACCGATCTCCACTTGGACACTGAGCTGTTGACCACTACCGTCTCAGTGCAACCATCCAACCAGTTCCTCATCCACTGAACAGTCCATCCATCAAATTAATCTCTCCCCAGTTTAGAGAGAAGGATGTTGTGGGGGACTGTGTTAAAGGCCTCACAGAAGTCTAGATAGGTGACATCCATGGCTCTTTCCTTATCCACTGATGTAGTCACTCCATCGTAGAAAGCCCACTAGGTTTGTCAGGCAGTACTTCCCTTTGGTGAAGCCATACTGCCTGTCTCAAATGACCTCCCTGTCCTCCATCTGACTTAGCATAGCTTCTAGGAGGATCTGTTCCATGGTCTTCCCAGGCACAGAGGTGAGGCTGACAGGTCAGTAGTTCCCAGGGTCTTCCTTTCTACCCTTTTTGAAAATGGGTGCAATGTTTCCCTTTTTCCAGTCACCAAGGACTTAACCTGACTGCCATGACTTTTCAAGTATCATGGAGCCTGGCAACTACATCAGGCAATTCCCTCAGGACTCTGGCATGCACCTCCACAGATTTGTTTATGTTCAGGTTCCTCAGGTGGTCTCAAATCTGATCATCTTTTAACAGGGGGAGGGAACCTTGCTCCCCCAGTCCCTGTCCTGCAGTCCATTCACTCAGGAGGTGTGGGAAGAGAGGTTGCTGGTGAAGACTGAGGCAAAAACTTTGTTGAGTACCTCAACCTTCCCCTTGTCTGTTGTTACATTTTTTTTTCATAGTTACCTTCTTTAATTTAATCCCATGTCAATTATTTTCAAAGTACTAAAAAATTTTGGTTTTTATTCCAGGAAAATGAAAAAGAATTGGAAGAAGCTGAAGAGTATAAAGAAGCTCGTTCCATACTGGAGTCAGTAAAGCTGGAAGCCTAGAAGTTTTTCAGTACTGTCTTTATATGCATTAGCACTGGGTCCATTCCACACTTTCGTTCGACTATGGCTCTATTACAATTGTTGACTTGCTAAGGTTCCCTTTATGCAAACTGGCCTTTCTCTAATTGCAAAATGCATCAAATAAAGGATAATCTGAAACATCTGTGTGTTCCATATTCAGGCAAAACAAACATTTCCAGTTCACATCAATTACAAAAGAAAAATGTAAGCATAATAGTGTAATAGCTAATATGCAGAACTTAATCTGAACAATTCAGGCTAAGAAATAAAGTTTAGCTATGTAGGGAATGTGAGGGACCAATAAATGCTTTAGAATGAAATAGAATCATGGAATGGGTTGGGTTGGAAGGGACCTTTAAGATTCATCTAGTTCCAACCCCCCTGCCATGGGCTTTAGAAGCACCTTATATTTGAAATAATTTCAAGCCATTATAGCATAACAATCTGTACTGAAAAAGGAGATGGACTAAATGACCCTTCAGAGTCACACGTCTTTTTTCTACGATGCAATTTAGCTGTAATTATATCAAGTATGTACTCCTTGTTTATCTTTGAGCCCAAGACAGAATTAAGAGCTGGTTCCAAATCTTTCTCAGTTTGCCTGGGGTTGATTTGTAAAGCCCAATTCACACAATTACCATTGATCAAAGTTCTTTTACTTTTTCAAGAAACAGAATTTAGCAGCTGACTAGTATGTTGTCAGTTGGGTCTGCTGGTAAGAGTTCTGGACTGAATGCTTTTCCTGAAAGCACCTTGACCTAAGTGAGTTGGTTTTTTTTTTTTTAAACAAAGCTCAAACCCTGGAAGGTGAAAGAGAACTGATGGTAAGGGAACAATGCTTAATCTGCTTGGAAGACCATTAAAATGTCATGTACAAAAGCTGTGGTTCTTTCAGAATAGCTTCTCTAAACAGTAAATAGTAAGCTCTGCTGATGAACAAGAAAGCTTTTTACATTAGTTTTTCTAGTTTGAAAGTGTTCTGGCATGTTCCTTAAAGGCAACACAAAGCACGGTGTACCTTTTGTGTGGTGCTATATTGAATACTCTTAATAAAATTTTTGTTAATTTGCCTGAGTTTGGGTAAACTGCAGTTTCAGTACCTCTATTTCCTTAAGCACATTGAGAGTTATAAATCTACTTCTCCATCACTGAAGCACTGCTCTGACAGATTATCAACACAAGATTTCTGATTGACTGCAGAATAACCTGCTTCTGAAGTGACCCCACACCAGTACTAGACACTGCTAAGAGGTGAAACCTTTTGTGATGTGACACTACTATGGTTTCAGGAGAATACACGCACACCTTCATACCAGCATTGCGTCCTAGGCACATAACTGCCAGACAGACACTGCCTGGTTCACAGCACAAATGAACTGCTATCAAGGAGAACATCTGTCTTTGAATACTCATTTCAGCTAGCTGCTTCTACGGACCTTCACCAGGAAAGGTAGCTGGAGTGGACAAAGCAGATCGCTTGTCTCTGCTGACCAGCTGCAGTCAGCTTAACAGTAACTCTGCTTGTGGCCATGGCATGAAGTGTGGTGAATAAATGCTGAGCTGAAAAGGAGGTGTGAGGAGGTGCCCAGTCTGCTGGGTAAAGCAGAATTTAAAATAAAAATAGTTCCTCTTCAGAAGAAAGAACACAAGCTTCTGGAGAACAAACCCACAGAAAGGTGACGTGCAGTTGCTGAGTAGCACAAGAAATGCAGGCCAGCATGGAAGCTGAAGAGAGGCATGACCTATAGCGGCCGAAGGAAAGCAGCACTGTAGTATGGCTTAAGTGGGCATTTAGAGTTAAAGGCACATGGGGCTGAGTAGCTACCATATAAACCAGACTCCAAGGAAACGTTCCTTCGTGCAATAGTTTCTAGGGTAGAGTGGTTTCTCACTTTTGCCTGATACTTCAAGCTGTTCTCTAGCTCCCTCTGACTGCATCATGAACCAAGATGATACTCCCCCCTATCCATTTCTTTTTCCTTCTACTAAGTTCTCCAAAAGGCTGAGCGTGTTCTGTTCTGTAATAAAGAGCCAGCCTCACTGATGAAAATCAAGGTATGTTCATATCTGAAAGGACTTGCTCTCTTCTTCTCTCCAGATGCCTCTGGAAGTGTCTTAACTTCTGAGAGGACAGCAGCATCATACCTGTAAAAACTATACCAAAAAATTCTGACAAGGCAGGGATAATAGAGAGCTGGTCCCTGAGGGGCAACTGGCAAAGCCATGCAGGCAACGCATTACTCATGCTAGCAGAACAGTAGATCCAGTGGCATATTACAGTAGACTACGTTTTTCCAGCAGTGCTCTGCATGGCCAGATGCAGATTATTCATAAAGAAGATTATTTTTGCTGACAAAACATCTATCATTTAGACTGGATCCAAGTTCCACAGTGAAGTAAAATACAGAAAATGAAGCAGAAGCAGTAGTATTGTTACTACGCTCTCAGACCCCTAACTCAAAAGGCAGCAGCACATCAAGTGACACCATGTTCTCTCTAATTTTAAAGTTATCATCTACTCTTTTTGGCAATACATAGTCTGCATTAGTGAATACAAGAGACCATCCCAAAAAAAGAAAAATCCTGTGGGCAACATTTTTGACCTCTGTCCTCTTTGAACCTTGTCACTAGCTTTACTGATGCCTTTCAAAAGCTGCCCAAGATTGACAAGCAGTATTGACCTTTCCATATGATTATGTGTGTTAATTTATCACTCGGTTTTCCTGTTGCTCTCTTACCACGAATGCATTTTTTACACCCTGGACAGAGGTATTATCCTTTCAATTATAACTTTCTTGCTGGCAAGAGTATGTTGAAGAAGCCTCTGAATTATTTGCCTGTTGAACAAAGCATTTGTTTTACTGAAAGGCCATAGCAGAACAAGAGCCCGCATTACACCCTGACTGAAGAAACAAAAGAGGTGACTGGAGAAGAAAAAGGTAGACCTAGAATAACAACTGGGAAGTAAGTTATCGCAAGTTCTGTGCCCACTGCTCTGATCACATGTTTGCTGGCTGCTACCTGCTTGTAAGTTTACCCTTGCACCGCCAAGATTCTTGCCCTTTGATTCAGAAGATGCGCTGCATCTGAAATACAACTACAGAACAAACACACTGTCCACTAATTTAAACTCCACTTGCAAAAGTTTCTACGACACTCACACAATTTCTTATAACTGGCTAATTTACAGGCCGGTTGCTTTTGTATTACTAAACATTTTTTAATTAATACAAAGCATTTCTTACCCGGCAATAATTTCCCAAAGATTCTTTGAAGGTAAGTTTCTTATATTCATAAAAGTAATCATGATTCTAAAGCAATGATTCTGACAGGCCTCTAATAAGCACATCTCAAAATCAAGTCCCTCGAAATAGTCTGCATGAAAAGCAAACCTTGCAACTGAGTAGCACCATCTTTTGGATTGCTGTTACATGGTGCGCAAGATCCAGGAAAACAATTTTCTTCTGAAAACCACAGGTTGTTGTTCAATACTTAAGAAGAGGATCCAAGAAGCATCCACACTTCAGCATGGCCCATAGGAAGCACACCATTAACCCACAAATCCCTTCCTCACCGCTAGTCTTCCAGCTCTAACTGCAATAACTAAGCTGCATCTCTCGCTGTCTGGGATTTGCAACCCTGAACCTCTGCTTTGAATCCAATGTCTACGTCAGTTATTTCTTCCAAAACACAAACAGAGGAGACAGCTGCCACTGCATCCTTTTACCCTTTTATTTATTAGCCAAACAGGTGCCACTTCCTGGAAACACAGAAATCTGTTCTTGTAATTGGCCACACTATACTAGAAACCAGCCAACACCACAAATAAGACAACTGACATTTTATACTCAAACAAATAAATTTTGGAATGACTTAAGTATGGGGAGCAGGGGAAAGAACAATCTGAGCCAAAAGCACTTGCACAGGGAGCATCACTATGTACAGGTCGTTCCTGGCCATAGCTCACTAGCATAAAAGGGAAGAGACTGAGTAGCATATTTTTTTCCAGACAAAATATTGTGAATTAGCTGAATTTCACCAAGATCACACAGCATAGGTTAAAAGGAGATTTATCCATTGAAACACATTTTCAGAAGGGACAGAGTGTGTATCAGATCCAAGACTGAAGTTAACATCTAACAGAATAAGCCTGTAGGCACATAATTAGCTACAAAAAAGGACGACAAGGTACATCTTCAGGCAGGAGGCTCCAACATTCTTTAAGAGGAGGGAAGAGCCAACTGTACATAGATACTTTGGGTTAAATCCACAAAAAGGTTAAAGGTGGTGCAGCACATCCCTTTCAGAAGTCCTGCTAAATGCCTTGAGGTGGGAAAAGCGGACTGACTGCAGAGTGCAGAGCCAATTAGCTCAGTGCCACTGAATCCAAGGGCAAGTATTTTGTGTCTAATGGTCATGGATCTGCAGGATATAACACACCCCATGCTACAAATACTTCTGACAAGCGCTCTCACATTTTGACCTTCAGGCAAGGGAAAAGTTCAGGCTTTCAGAACACCATTCATAAAAGGCAACAAATTAAGTGAGAAGTTTCTAGCCAGCAGGAAACATCAAGATTAGGAGCAGTAAAAGAAGCACTTTATCTGTGTCCTGGTTTCGGCTGGGATAGAGTTAATCTTCTTCCTAGTAGCTGGCATAGTGCTGTATTTTGGATTTAGGATGAGAAGAATGTTGACAACATGCTGATGGTTTAGTTGTTGCTATGTAGTGCTTAGGCTAGTCAGGGACTTTTTAGCTTCCCATGCTCTACCAACTGAGAAGGCTGGAGATGCACAAGAAGCTGGGAGGGGGAACATCCGGGACAGCTGACCCGAACTGGCCAAAGCCATATTCCACACCACATGACATCATGCTCAGTACATAAACTAAGGGAAAGCTGGCCAGGGGAGGGCACTACTCAGGGGCTGGCTGGGCATCAGTCGGCAGGTGGTGAGCAATTGCATTGTGCATCACTTACTTTGTACATTCTTTTATCGTTATTATTATTTTATCTTCCTTTTCTGTCTTATTAAACTGTCTTTACCTCAACCCACAAATCTTGCTCCCCCTACACTGGGGCAGGGGAGTGAGCAAACAGCTGTGTGGTGTTTAGGTGCCTCATGGGTAAAGCATGACAA